CAGCGGAGCGCGCGCACTTAACCGCTTGCGCCACCGGGCCGGCCCCTGAATATTGCTGCTTCGAATGTGTATATTTATTATCAAGTTTCTAGTAGTCTAGATATTTGACAGAAGCCATAATCAGGGATTGAAGATGAGAGAAAGAACAAAGCAACATAAAAAGAAGAGAGAAAACAACAAAAGCCCTTCACCTCAGATCTCAGGTCCCACCACCCAGCGCAGGAGGGGGAGGTGGGCGAGGAGGTCCGTGGTGCAATCTGTTTACTCCTAAGGTACTGCTTCACTGTGGGGCATTTATCTCAGCTTTAGAGTTTTTATTAAATCTAGTGTATGAATTCCAATTCAAAACTAATTAATACAAAAATAAACATCCTGTTCCCAAGCAGAGGCTTAATAAACAAGAAAACACTCTACTGTTTTCCACTCCAAAAGGCTCATTCTTAACTTTGGATTGTAGTTCAGTGACCAAACTTTATCTCATCTTTATCCAACAAAACACAAGGTAAGATTTCTCTAGAACTATAATTGCTCTAAGCTTGATGGATCTTCTGAAATACTAGGTAGCAACATTTTGAGAAACCATATTTTAGATTCTACACAAGGTCATAAGCAGTGTAGGATTTTTGCCTCCCAGCTTAGCAAGGTCAAAAAATCATGACATTTTCACATGCCTTGAAGAGATTTTTTTTTCTTCCTTCCAGATGGGATTACTTCATTGAAGAAGAGCCCCCAAATCCCAGTCCTTCTTAAATAACACATTGTGAATGGGGGCGGGGGAGGGGGGGTGGTAAGAGCAAAGGGAGTGGGTTTGGGGGGAACACTGATGAATGACAATTAGTTTCTTTTTGCCTTTGGAGAGGTGGGAATGATGCATTGAAATGAACATCAAATAGACATTGATGAAAATGCTTAAATATAATGTCAAATAAATTAAGAAATTAATTAGTGTAGAACAATGCTTCTATACAAAAAAAAAAAAAATCCCATACCCTCAATTTTATATCCTTCTAAAGTTTACACTTAATTAATTCAGGGGGTTTTGTTGATATTCACACAGATGGTTAATGTCACCTCTACAGCTCATTCCCGCGTAAATTTACCACACAGAAAGGAACAGTCATTTTTCAAAGTACACAAATACTGGTTACCATGGAAACCAGTTGGTGCCTGCTGCTCCTGATTCTGTTTTCAGAGCAGAATGTTAACCACAGGACATTCCAGCTGTGACTCATTGCCACACTACTGGCAAGCATGCTGCCTTGGTCCTGCTAAGGGTATGATTTCCCCTATTTTTGAAAGCCTAACGATCTACTCGGTCTGAGCAATATTTGAAGTAGGAATTAAGTCTATATAAAGGAAACTAGTAGAAATTAGGAAGAGAAAGATTGAGATTTTCACGTTGAATATGCAGATCTAATTTGTATAACTGTGTTTAGAGGTTGTTGTTGTTTTTTTTAAATACCTGAAATGCTGCTTACCTTTTCAAGTCAGCCATTAAATGTATCTTCCAATGTGGGAGTACATACAAAATCTCCTGTGTAGAATCTTTGCAGTTATTCTCTTAAGACTATTCATTTAGGATTTTTATAGTTTAGGTCCACCCACCCCCACCCCACCCCGAAATATCTCAACCACTCTTAGGACACTCAAAGAGGAAGGAAATCTCTTGCCTAAGCCACATTTACCAATTTCTATCTACTTCCTTTGTGTGTGTTTGATAACTTGGTACAGGCATAGTTTATTACACCATTAGTGACTTCAGACTCCAGTTGCAATATGAAATGATCCATGGACTCCTTCTAAATATTAAGGACCCCTTCATGTAAGGTGGAAGACATAAAACCAAAGACACGTCACTGACAGAGATAGTCCAATTTTTGTAAGATTAAGGGTTTTGTAGATACTTTAGGAATCACTGGAACTCAAGTCTGGAGGAACCAAGAGTCAGGTAACGTGTACCCCAACCTGTTCCCTCAGTGGGAATCAACTTTATGAACTGCAAGAACTCTCAGAACAGAAACGCACTTTTCAGGTACCTCTTTGTTGCTAAATTATTTTATGATTTTGAAATTTGTTATTGTAATGAATGAAATTGTAATTAACTGTCTCCTATATCTGAGCATGGGATGTATAGACTTGACTGCTTTTCTAAACCCATTTTAGAATCACCATGAGTAACAACTAAGACTCCGCCCTTTCTATTTTAGATTGGCATCTAATTCATACTTTTTCCAGTATTGTTTTTCTT